CCCTCACCCCACACACAAGTCTGGGGAGCACATGTCGCCCCATGCCTTCTCAGGGCTACACGCAGCAGTGGGGAGCTGCCCCCCCTTCTTCACCCCACCACGGCCCCTGAACAAGCTGTCCTCAGCAATGTCCTGCACCCTGCTCCACCCCAGCTGGGCAGAACCTAGGCCTGCCCCAGTCTCACCCTCTCCCTCATCATGGGAACCTCCATCTGCCCCACCATGCCCCTTCCTTCCCCCATGCCCCTTCCCCCCCCACAGACTTACCAGCTGGATGCTGCTTTCCATGACGCCGGGCTGCATTCATGGCCACATGCATGCTGTGGCTACATGCATGCATACAGGATTTATTGGTGACGTTATCAGCTACACTGGCCAAAAAGAGTTGATGATGTCAATTTTCCTTTTATAGGTACTGATACAGGTACCTATCAGTATACCTCTAGTTTTTTTACTTTGCTCTGAATTTCTCATCGGAACCACTGGTGGTGTGCAACACATCACAACCCATCAAGGGAATCTCAGCAGACAAAGTTTTAGTCTTGCATCTGTATTTCCAAATAAGACTACAGCTACTCCTCTCCCCTTTACCTTCGCTTTCTGGGTCACTTTGCACTTGTCCATCAATCTCCATTCCAACTGCAAGACAAAGAATGATGAATAATTGAATTGGTCAGTGGGGTTTTTACATACAATATTTTATACTTGTAGCACTTAACTACTGACTGACGAGTGAAAATGCCCTTTCTAATTATGTATTAAATTATTTTAACTAGCTAGAAGTCCCTACTATTTCTCTGAATTTTGGAAGCCAGTTACTAGAAGTTCCCTACATGAGAAAAATATCAAATATACAATTTTGAGAAATATCAAGTAATGCACACATTGTTTAAAATAAATATTTAGTTTTGTGTTTGTACTGACCATTTTCCATGATGACCTCTAAGGCGCATTTCCCTTTCTTTTGCATGATGATTATTCCCTTTTTGTCACAAATGTCGAAGTCCTAGTGTTGTGTACACATCAGTAAAATAGAGGTTGCTCTCTTTTTCAGTGCCCATTTATTTATTTCCACACAGCCAAGCACAAAAAATTACCCAATGCCAGAACTGCACTGAATCCTCTTTGAGCTGGTTTGCATGCTACATGGTAACTTCAAGGGCTGAGGGCTGTGCGGGGAGTCCAAACACTTTCTGCTCCGATCGTTTTTCAGTGTAGAAAGCACCTGCTGGCATTATGTTGCATCACATAATTTAAACATGAAGGAAAGCCCTATGGTGGATACTCAGTGAAATGAAAACACAAGTCACATTCATTTCTGATACAAGCATGTACCCTAAAGCTTTGGGAGTATTTTTAGTGGGGTGTCCTCCCCACCCACATACCTTTATATAACCTTACTAGTCCTCACCCCTTTATCTAAACTTACTCATCTTCACCCCTTATCTTACAGACTTCAATGCAGTGCCTCTCATCGACATGTCTTTGTCTTGCCTCTTTTCCATGTGCATTCTCTATAGAAGATGTGTGGACTAATGGTTGCACTAACGATGCACAGGGCTGAGTGACAGGACATCTACAATTTATTCCTTAGTCTTATCTGACCTTCAGCGCATTGCTTTCCACTTAGTTGGGATATATTTTTGTCTGTCGGTGCTGGGAGGCTATTTCATTAACATGAGACCCTCAGTGCTTTAGTACTGTGAAGTATTGTACTGCCTGTTTAACTATTGTAGCCTGAAAATGTAACTTGGAGAAAAATTTCCATTGACAGCAAATTTTACTTGAGGAAATTTCAGTAAAAGCTTCATAATATGCCCCAGTGGTAACATTTTGAATAGGTGTTCAGTTTTAATCCATTCAAGGGCAATCAAAGAACAGAGCTTCAGAGGCTGTAGGGCACAGTCAGAGCTAGTACTTTCAGCTGCGCAGCACAAATTCATGTCTGCTCAGGCAGTACTTTCTCTTGCAAACACTCATGCTGTACAACATAATGCTTTTAAGGAGGAAAGTCAACTACTGTCCAGATCCCTGTGATCTGCTGGTCTCCTGAAATTCGGAACATGATTATCTGTAACACTGACTTGATAAAAAAAAAATATGCAAAGGCAGTCTTTGAATAGTGGTAGAGGTATAAGATAAAGTTCCCTTTACCATGCCCCGGAGCAGAGGAGGTGCCTTTGGGATAAAAGGTATTTGCCTCAATTGTCTGCTGTGAAATATGGAATCTCAGAGAAAAGTAACAGGAGCAAGCTCTCCTGGAAGGAGAGGAAATCCTAATTGCAGGAAGCTTTATTTCTTTTGGTAAAGTGAATTTTCACTGAATGAAATCCTTCTTCCCTCCCTCATTTGAACTCCAATGCCAGGGCTGGTTTTACCACTCCTGACCTTAACTTGTTACATGCACACACATTAACAGCTCTGCCACACAAGGGTAATTGTGGCATTTATATCATATAAGTTCCACACAAAAGGCCAGATGGGTGCTGTGGAGGGTGCTGATGCTCTTTTGAGACCCTCCTACAAAAGCACCATGCCAATCCCTCTAGGTTGTGCAGTTGTTCAGAAGACGTTTACTGAAATATAGCATTGCTGAATTAGCATACCCCTGAGAAAAGAGCATGGCAGATCTCTCAGAGCTGCTATTCTAGGTTCAATGTAGATTCTATTAGAAAGCATAAGTTATGTCTTTGCTAAAGTAGCAGAAAACTCAGTCATGCTTTTGCAGAAATGATTATGCAGCAAGAGTAGATGGGCAGGATTTATCAATCCTAGATTTAAGGCAGTCAGAACTGGAAGGGGTGCTTCAAGATACTGCTAATTGAATACACCAAAAACCCTGATTTTGAGCTCAGTTATGAGGTTGATGCACTGGAACATTGTGGGTGGGCCAGTCTTATTTCTTCAGTGGTGTGACTGAACTCTCTGCTGCTATGGTCCTAAGCTAGTGGTTCTCAACTATTTTGGACTTGAGGCACTCCTCAATAACTTTTATGAATTGAGTGGCAGCTATTTCAAAAACAATTTTACATCTTGTAGTGCTTACCTGCTTGCAGAGGGGCCAGGCAGTGGGTGGAGGGGAATTGGAGCAGGGGCAGGCCTGAGCCTGTGCCTATCTGCTTACCTACTCATACCTAGATCATCTCTTCACATCTCACAGCACCCTTCAAAGGATCTGGCTGCACCAAGGATGCCATGGCATCTTGCTGAGAATCACTGGTGTAGGCATAGCCCCAGCATCATCTTTCTACAAGAACAGCTTAAACTTTTTTTATTAAAGTTGAGATTCTAGAATGGGACAGTACATGGAAAGTAATGCCAACATGATTATGGGACCCCAACAGATATGTCCAAATGCAAATCTCACACTCTGCATCATTATTTATACCACTGGTTTTGCCTGTGAGTTATTTTATTTTTCACTGAAAACTGACAGAAGCTGAATTACAAACCTGAGATACAAAATATTTTAAGAAGGATTGGATTAAGCATCAAGATGTCCTGATTACTTGGCTGTTAACTGGTAATTCATTCACCATCTAATGGAGTTGACATGACTCCAGGCTCAGGCCCTGTGTGTTTGACTTGTCATGCTTGCAAATCTTAAGTATATACATGTGAAAAGTTCCTCAGGATATTCAGTAGAGTAGTTCTACTCTAGATGAAGTACAAGTTCATTTTGCTTTGATTCAACAATGTGCCTTCAAGACCTGTGTACATATCCTCTTCCTGACATATAGGCTAACTGTATTCAAAAGGACCATCTTCCTTAACAGTAACAACTCCAGGAAACGGTGATATCTCTAACTGCTAAAGGGCAGCCTGGATACCCCTTTCAGATTAAACATGTTCACACCGTTGGTTTGGCTTAATATGTCAAGGTGGGCCTTTCAACATGATCTTTGCCTTGGTTTGGTGCAACACTACTAGGTCAGTTTTGCATACAGAAAATAACCTATGTTAGTGTGTCCGTGCAGTGTACCGCTGGATCCCCCCAGTTCTCGCCTGCCATGACTTCAATCTTGTTAAAGAAACGGGAAGGAAAGTGATGACATGATAATTAGTACCCGCGGAAGGACCATGCTTGGTCTGTTTCATTATCTACTTGCTTTTTATTCTCTCTTTTGCAGGGAACCAGTTGGGAGGCAGCAGCTTGTCAGAGTTGCTCCTGGGATCACCCCCATGCTCTGAAGAGGATCCCCAGCCCCTCAGTTGGGATGGTAAGTGAAGAGGCGCATTTCACCCGCTTGTGGCTGTATCAAACGATCAGTGCCCGCAGGGTCCCCTCTGCATCCTCTGCCCTGCGAAGGGGGTCTCCGGGCTTCTCAGTCTTTGTTCTATTCAAGTCTGGGCTCCCCATCGCTAATTATCTCATTAGCAGCTTGTTACAGATGCCGCCCAGCCTCCTTTGCCACACGGTGCCGACACATGGGTTCAGTAGTTCTCCTGCGGCCAGGTCTCGAGCTCTCTGCCCCCGGCATCCCTCTCCCCTCAGGGTCTGGATGTGGTCTCTTCAGGGGTCTGGGCAGCTGACGCCTCTCCTGCCGCTCCCTTTGGCTTCAATTTGCCTCTCCGCATCCCGGTGCAGAAACTGCGGCTTCTTCCCGCACCACAGCTCTTCTCTTCCCCACACTCACCAGCATTCCCGCAGATTCCTGGTAAGGGGTGCGTGGGTCTGAGCTCTGGGATCCCTCGGCTCATGCTGATTCCATGTTGTGGATCCCTCCTCTTATAGTTTCATAGATTTAGGGTCGGAAGGGACCTAGTAGATCTTCTAGCCCGACCCCCCCGCCAGGGCAGGAGAACAACAAAACCCCAAAACAAGAAACGGGACTCAAATGAGTCCAGCCAGGTAGGCATCCAGCCTCTTCTTAAAGACCCCCAGGGTAGGGGCCAGCACCACTTCCCTTGGAAGTTGGTTCCAGCTCCTAGCCGCCCTAACTGTGAAGTAGTTTTTGCGGATGTCCAATCTATACCTCCTCTCCATCAACTTGTGCCCATTACTCCTTGTTATGCCAGCAGGCGCTAGGGGAAACAGCGTCTCCCCCAAACCCTTCTGGTCCCCCCTAGTGAGTTTATAGACGGTCACCAGGTCCCCCCTCAGCCTTCTCTTGTGGAGGCTGAATAGGTTCAGGTCCCGCAGTCTCTCACTGTAGGGTCTGCCCTGTTGTCCCCGGATCATGCGGGTGGCCCTCCTCTGGACCCTCTCCATGTTGTCCACATCCCTCTTGAAATGGGGCGCACAGAACTGGACACAATACTCCAGCTGTGGCCTGACCAGCGTCGCGTAGAGGGGGAGGATCACCTCCTTGGCTCTACTCAAGATGCACCTGTGGATGCACGACAAGGTCCGGTTAGCCCTGCCAACCATGACCTCGCATTGTCGGCCCATGTTCATCTTGGAGTTAATAATGACTCTTGGATCCTTCTCCCGGAGAGTCTCCCCCGCAGCTCCTCTCTTGCCCTGTGGTGCCCAAAGGCAACTTTCCCTAGGGAGTGTTCGTTTCATATCCCTGGGCACCGAGCCCCATTGGCTCTCTGCAGGCGTGGGGCATCTCCTTGCCCCACCAGGCCATAATCACCATCAGCTGCAAGATTTCTCAAGTAACAGGGCTTCAGTCTGAAACCCTGTTACAACCCACATCACAACCAAGAGGGGGGATTTTATGTCTGGGCAAACTGGTCAGCGTTTGTACAACTTGCATCTTACAATTTCCACAAGGTTGCAGGGGTACCTGGAGCAGCTGGTGTAACATATAGGAAGCCACCTGACAACTTGGCATCCCGGATTTCCTGTCCTTGGTACCTACAACAATAGGTATTTTATTTCTCATTAGCATGGCAGGGAAAACATTTCATGCATCTCCATCCTTTGTATTTAGATAAAAAAGCATCAGAAGGACAATAGTGAAGGACATTAGAAAGGGCATAGTTAACACGTCTCAGAAATATTCAATTTTAAAAACACAGTAAAGACTGGCAGGTGATATCAGTGGCATCATAAGAGGAACAGCATTTTACAAAATGGCCTAGTGTTAGCTGTTGCCATCATATAGGGCAAAACATAAGGAAAGGTCAGCTCTATTAGGATGAGCAACAGATGGTACAGTCTGTCCTCCTTTTGATCATTATGTTAAATTTCCCCCTGGGGGCTGTCACCTTTCCTGTTACACAGGTCTGAAAGGGACTTCAGTGTATTTAAGAACTATGCATATATAACCTGGATCTAAAAAGGTACCTGCCTGTATTTGTAGTAGAATTTAAGGTGGGTGTGACACTTATACATCTGGATCAATGTGACTCAATGACCAGGTTTAAAAATAATGAAAAGGTTTTTGCCACCCCAATATTGTAAGCAGGGGATTTGTTGCCTCTGTGGTATTTGTAATGTGAAACTCTATAAAACGTGTTCAAAGCACAAGTTATTTCAAACATTTTTGGCAGCGGGTCTCTCTCTAATGGCAAAAGAAATTTTGTTACAGGAAGCATGGCAATAAATAAAAGGGTTAAATGGCTAATGGGAAGAACTGCATTTACTCTGAGGAAGGGCATATTTTCCTATCAACATATGAGGACACTTTTTTTTGCATGTCCATCACTGAAATAAAAAACAGACTGCAAAATTATTCCCTTGGTTTCATGCAAACTTCATATACTCATGGTGTGGCTAATAATTCATTTCACACTTGTTTAGCACCGCGTCTCCGAATCCTTCATTTTTCTTGGCTCATGGGATAGATTTTTCTAGTAAGATAAAATGTCTTACATAGTTTATGTCTTCCTTTAGAATTATGGGATGGGGAATTAATGAATTGCACTTTTACCTCTGAGTCTGTTCAACATAAGACAATAAATTAGTCATGCACAATCCTGAACCAAAACTATTATTTAGGTAAATGTCAGACTTGTGTATGGAATGTAAACAGTTTCTCTCTGCTTTTGTACATACCTGAGGCTATATACTTTGTGAGTTCAGTTTTAGTATAGTGGGGCATTAAAACTTTTCACACGCATCCAAGTGTTAAATAAAACGCAATTGTGTTATGAAAAACCGTAACTTGATCCTGGAAGCACATACAACATGCATGTAAATGTTTAATAAGATAGTGTTTCCTTTCTTGCTTCCTGGTTAACAGAGAGTTTTAGCTAATTAATCCATGGGTTACATTTATTCAATATTCATTTAATCCATAAATAATCTATTTCTGGAGAAGGTTTCCCAGTAAAAATACTTGATTTGTGCACACTAACATTTTGAGGAGGTTCTGTGAATCTCAGTTGCAAGAGCTAACCTTATAATGCTATGTTAAGACAGAGAAATCAATTACCATAGTCTGAAGACAGGACATTTCAAAAGTCAAGGGGCTTTCTCATCATTAACTCAATCATGCTGTATTTATTTAATAATATTGTACTGTATTATTGGTTACCAATAAAATGTATGTGCATTTGGGCATAAATTGATACCCAACACTCCCATTTGAAAAAAGAAAGGGATGTAAATATAAGCAGGAGGAATTCAATTGGAAATAAAAGGAAATTGTCAAAGAACAAAGAACAATGATTATGCTTCTGAATGTGGTCAATGGTAACAATACAGTGACCCCAATAATAATAATGCAATAAGGGCTCCTTCTTATACTAGGAAATTTTCAGAGCAAGTTACTATGTTTAGAAACACTGAGACTAGAGGCATATTATTTAAAAGAAAGTAGTCTTCTTTTTAATTGCCAAAGATATATTAATTTTCCCCTCATACATAATCTCCCTACTTGTTTCACTTGTTACTTATGCATAGGGGTATTTCATGAACTTAAAAACCAGGGCTAAGTATAAATGTTCAAAAAGCCCCTGGAGGAAAGCACTTTAACTATTACATTTTACTTAAAGTGCTATATGTTAGAGTACATTCCAACCAAACAGACATGTGCTGTCAGTACAGGGACTCAGTACACACCTGCACTGGTCAAGGCGAGCAGGTGGGGGGCACTCCTGCAGGCCTCCCAGGAGGCTGCTGGAGTGCCCCCCCCCAACCCTGCCACCTTCTGCCAGCTGGGGACTGTCAGCAGCAGCTGCAGATAGGGATCAGAAGGGAGCCCCCCACCTACCTATGTGGACCCAGGCTGGCCCCCACCACCAGATCCCCACCAGCAAGCTGTAGGGGTGCCCTCATAGTGGGCAGCTCCCTTCCCCAAAGTTGTCTGTGCTACTTTGCACAGACAACTCTGGCACATGGTGGATGGAAAAGGAGACCCCACTAGTGGGAGGGCCACCTCAGCTTCCAGGGAGGTGGGCCCCCTGCAGAAGGGGGGGGCTCCTTTTCCATCCCTGCCCTGACAGAGTTCCCAGTGCTGCAAAAAGCAGTGCAGGGAACCCACGCTGCCGCTGCTGGCTATAGCTGAAGGGATGAAGCCTCCCTGCCATGGTGGGGCCTGGCTTGTCC